ATTTGAGACAGAGAGAATGAGAGAGAGAGAGCACATGAGCGGGGGGAGGGTCAGAGGCAGAAGCAGGCTCCCTGCAGAGCAGGGAGCCCGATCCGGGACTCGATCCAGGGACTCCAGGATCATGACCTGAGCCGAAAGCAGTCGCTTAACCAACTGAGCCACCCAGGCGCCCAGGCTTGTTGGAATTTAAAAGATACTAAATTTATGATCATTGTGTAAAAATGTACCCACTACTTTTGGTGGCAAGATGGAGCCCTGAAGGTACAGTCTTCTATGCGTTATGAAATCAGAGAGACTATCTTAAGATTGGTCTTTCAAGGCACAAGAAGAGGCATCAGAGGTGGTGGTGGGAGGGGGCAAGGGAAAGGTTCTGGTTTATGTGTCTGAAAAAAAAAAATTGGAGAGAAATTTCTGTTGGAGCTAATGATCTTGGCAAATATCCAAGGAAGAAACTAAGCATCCAGTACCTAAATTTAAACACACAGGCACCATAAAAATACACCATAGTGTAATCCATTTCTGCGCTGTCATTAAATCCCTGTGTGGCCTTGGGCAAGTGAATTACCACTGGGATTTCCCAGAGGGCTGGACTACAAAGCAGGTTCCTTCCAGCTAAAAACACTGCAACTCTCAGCATTTTTGAGATGTGGTTTCATTGATGAGAGCATGGTGATTGCTCTAAGGTCTTGTTTATCCTTCAGTTCTGTGGGCTCTTGGAAGAGAATGTTACAAAAGATGACAAAGTCATTTTTTTGATTACTGATTTAATTTCTGAAAAAACAAAATAGGAAATTATGTCCCCTAGGGCTAAGGAAAGTTACTGTGATGATTTTCCACTTACTTTGATCCCAACTGTATCAATGAGAAATAGGGAATTTGGTGAGAAAATTTTAGAGTCTAATTTGTTAAAATCTGACATCATATTTATTTTTGTTTGAAATGGGAACACAATGTACAGTCACTGAGACTTGACCAGGTAGTTTGCAAAAAATGTTTGAAAAAGTACATCCATGTGAAAAGAATGTCTAGAATGATTCAACCGCTTTTATTATTTTTTTATAAGTGAGTCATGGCTGTGTTTGACTTTCTCTTCTATGCTTTTCATTTCTCCATAATGAAACAGATTTTTGTGGGTTTCTTTTTTTTTTTCTTCGTCCTTTGGGTGTATACCACATTTTACTACATTTGAAGATTGTTACTAATGAAATGATAAATCTATGTTGAATTTGGTTACCATGCTGCTTTTAGAATGAGTGTTTTGTTTATGGCTCTTTCATCCTGATTTTTTTTTTTTTAATTTGGGTCTATGTCCAATAACAGTGTACTGGGATGAAGAGGAGAAATCAAGATTGGAGAGACAAAGCCAGACTATATCCCTTTAAGGAGACTTTTTGGGAGGCCAGAACTGAAAGGAAGTAAACCAGTTAAATAAGTGTTGTTTGGCCATGTCAACTTTCCTTGTTGGGCAATTCAAGATATTAGCTGTTCTAGAAGAAACTTCTAGATATAAGTAATTCCATCTACTTACCACCTTGACCCTTTAGGTAGGGAGATGATAAAGTATGATTCTTAATAACTGGGTACTTCTACATAGAAGGAGCAAAATGTAAGCTCATTTTGTATGAATGATGATTATCGAAGGGTTTTTATTGTAGCAATGGCTTTTTCATTGGAAATACCAGGAAGCTTTTGGTATCACTAATACTAAAAATGAACAGAAAGGTGATCCAAGGACTGTCTTAAAAGAGGAGTCCTGATAGAAGTGGGCAGATGTGTGTATTTACTGATTTTTGATGTAAGGGACATGAAAGCTAACCTGATTCATTTGTTTTTAGGGGCTCTTGGCTTTGGGCCTCAGTGCAAGTCCATTGGAAAAGGCAGCTGCAACAATCTAGTGGTCACCAGCAGTCCCATGATGGTTCAGCGACTGGGACCCAATTCACCTCCAGCAAGCCAGGTCTCTACAGCATGCAACCAGATCAGTCCTAGCTTACAGAGGGCAATGAATGCTGCCAACCTGAATATACCTCCTTCAGATACCAGGTCTCATGTTACTTTTTTTTTTCTCCCTTCTTATGGTATAATCATACCCCACGTATGTTTTCCCTTCCCTTTCTGAACACATGCGCACACACACCCCCCACACACGTATACACACACATATACTCACTCCAGCAACTCTTTCAATTTGAGCTTTGTAGGGGAATGTGTATAAAAACGAAGTATGTGTCGTAATATCCTCTTAATTGGGAAGAATGGTTTCCTACCTGCTGTCTTGTACTGTAAGTGTAGTTAATGTCCATTTTGAGACTCTTGGGCCTTCGTGACGAAAGCCCAGTGTGTAAACGTGGCAGTTTGGTGAGGCTGGCCCTGTCCTGGCTAGAGAATTGAGATGCGCCACGTACATCTCTTACCTGCTTGTTTTCCAGGGTATGTGTTGCAGTGTCCCCAGGCTGCTTTACCATCTGTTTTGTCTGTCCATCCATCCACCCGAATATCTATTAAGTACTTACTGTCTGTACAATACAATAGTTGACGTTTAGGGAGATGGTAGAAAAAGTAAAGAGAAGTCATGAATTTCGAGACTTTATGATGTGTCTGGGAAGACACACTTTCATGCATGAATTACATAGCATTTCAACATAATGTCTGATTAGGTGCCAGAATAAGGGGGTCCAGTGAATGCTGTGCGTCATTCTGTATGGGAGAGAATTGAATAGGAAAGGGAAATCACCCCGTCAGATACATTTTTATATCTCTCAAGGTTGATATTATAGGGGACATAAAACCAAAATACTGTGCAATGTGTAAGGTCCATTTCCATATTTGAAATGAATTATTTTGTCTCCTAATAAGTAGCCTTCTTGGAGAAACACCATCCAGAGTTTTTAACCTCTTAGTCCTGGCTCTGCTGTAGCTGTGATTTTGCAAAGGAATTGGACTATATGGGCCCTCTGCTTCCTCTTCTCGGAGGATGGAATCTACTGAGGTGTCTCACAGTTGTGGGGTCCCGTGTCTTCTCCCATCCTTCCTCCTCTTCCTCCTGTATCCTTTTCCCTCTCGTATCTCTGCCCTGTCCTCCCAGCCACTACCTGAGACTCAGAAATCATAGTTCCTGGATCCTTTTTTTTTATGCCAGTTTTTTCATGAGATGGAAACTTGTTTTTCACCTGAGAATTTTTGTGATGGGAAGCTGCTGCTGTCATTTTGCCATTGATGATTATGCCTTGAGGGACTCCTCAGACTTGCTGAGTGTTGCATGTAAAATTAACTGTACTCGGGGGAGGGGGGTAGGTGTCATTGGAAAGCCTTCAGCTTCCTGTCTGTGGCAAGTCCAGCCCATGCCTTGAAGGCAGAGAGTCATAATTAATGGAGAAAGTGACGGTAGACAGGGCATGCGCTGCTCCAGCCTCGTACCTTATGCAGTCCCTTTCATGGGTCGGCCAGAGAAGGGTCATTATCTCAGTGTTTTCTGGCATATTTGATTCCTTAGCATAATTTTATATCCTTAAAGGACAGCATCTTAAATATGCATTGACATGTGTTTTGACTATGTATTCTGAGTCCTTCTATGGAAATCATTCTTTGGCAGGATGAGCAAAGAAACAGGAGTTGGGAGGTCGGGTGGCTTGGTGAAGTACGGAAATTACTTTTAGCAATCTGGGAAGGTTGCATTTATTGTGATCCTTAAATTGGGTTGTGTGTTCCTTCAGAAGAAACAAAGGATAGGAGGCAAGAGTTCAACCTGAGGGCATTTTGCTGTCTAAAGATAAAGAGAAGATGGAGAGAGAATCATCTCTGTGTGTTATCCATTGGAGACATGCCAGAGGGAAGTGGGTGGGGAGGGGGCATGCGCTGTTTGCAGTGAGTGATGGCTGTCCTCTAGAAAGCTGTAAAGTTTATTGTTTTTTATCTGATTATCTATGTAATTGTTATTCATTGTAGAAAATACGGAAAGTGTGGAAAAGCAGGAGGTAGTGAATGATAGTCGTCCTGAACCCTATCACCCACAGGCAACCATGGGAGCAATTTTGATACATTCCCTTCTCGTTACATGCAGATGCATTCACGATAAGCACAGGTTTTCCTTTCCACCAGATTGATCTATAATTACCTACATGGTCTTATAATTACCATTTTTTTTTAACTAATAGAAACACTTTCTTTGTAGTAAAAATCTTCTTCAGCATTGTATAATGGCTTCTTCCTGCCTAAGATTCCATTTTATTAAAAAAAAAAACAACCTGTGATTTTTATCAGTCTTTTATTACTGGGCATTCATTCAGCTGGTTCCCTTTGTTTCAGTATTATAAGTAATGCTTTATCAGATCAATTCTGTAAATCTGCTGTTGCATATCTCTGGTTACGAGAATAAATTCTTAGAAGTAAAATTTGCTGAGTTACAGGAGATGTACGGTTTTGAGGCTTTTGCTCTAGATTCCAAAATTGCACTGCAGCAAAGTTCTGCCCATTGATACACTCGCCAGCAGTCTGACAGTTCCTGTTTTCTTACTAAATACTAGGTATTTTTATTCTGATACCTTTTGCCAATTTGATGTGCCAATTGTTATTTTATCTTAATTTGAATTTTCCTAATTATTAATAATATTGAGTAGTCTCCATAGATTTACTGTTTGCATTTCTTCTTTTGACTTCCTTTGACTGTTTGTCTTCTGGAGTGCTCATTTTGGGAAAAACACTCTTCTGTAGCTTCGTTGGGTTCGGTTTACCATTTTTTTTTTTTTAAAGATTTTATTTATTTATTTGAGAGAGAGAGACCATGAGGGGGGGAGGGTCGGAGGGAGAAGCAGACTCCCCGCCGAGCAGGGAGCCCGATGCGGGACTCGATCCCAGGACTCCAGGATCATGACCTGAGCCGAAGGCAGCCGCTTAACCAACTGAGCCACCCAGGCGCCCCTCGTTGGGTTCGGTTTAATGCAGTGACACACAACATGCCCTAATGCTGTATATTTGCCTTTATTAACTTCCCAACCATTTCTGACGAGCCCCACTTAATAATAAATGCAGACTACACCTTACCTTCTTGAAGATCCAGAAACCATTCTTGATCTAGGCATTGCCAGAACTCTGTAATACAGGGGCCACCATATGTATTTACCTTACAATGACAAGTACACTGATACGATAACCTCATACAGTAGCTTCATGTACCCATACAGCAAAAGTTGGGCAACAGAAGAGATTGGACACTCCTGGTGGGCTTTGTATATGTTTGGCTTTCCTGGTGCTTTCATATACATTGTGATTGTGCATTTTATGATTGAATCTTCATAAACCATCTGTAGGTGTTACCTCAGTTTTATAGATGATGGGCCCAAGACACACAAAGTCTAAATGCTTTGCCTAGTGTCACTTAGCTTGTCATTTACAAAGTGCAGCCATCAATCTAATAATGTCATTCTGGATCTCAAAAGGCACCACATTTTTCTCTCCTAAACCACACATTCTTGGAGGTGATTTCTGGTGGTGGAATTTCTTAGGGTTTCCTTTTGGGTTGGAGTATGTCCACAAAGCTCAGAGGAGGCCAAGGTGGCTGAGAATGGACTGTGGACTCTGTTAAGTTCTAACGGTTTACAAAGCCATACTGTCTTCAGATGCAGTGCTACCTCTTGGGGATTTGCCCACGCACAGAGACGAGAACTTACAGATAGACTAAGACTAGTTTTTTCTGTGACATAGATAATATATATTCTCTTGAGGCTCAGTTTGAGGAATTCCATGTGATCTGTAAGTTAGTATTTCTTTTGAACTTGGTATTGAACCAAGCAATCCAGCTTGGTCATCCTGCCCCTTATGGCACCGCGAGAGTCACTTAGCTCTTGCCTCACCAGTCCCCTTAACCTGTTTCACTGATGGTGTCGGAGTTTTCATACTGGTTGTATTTTGTTTGAGCTGTATCTCTTTCCTTTTTTATAGCTCCAAATTAACCACTCACTAGAAATAATGTCTTTGGGAGCAGATGAATATATGGAAATGGAGACGGTCTTGTCTGTTTGTCCGTCTCTTTCCCAGAGACCTGGAGTGCGCAGCCTCAGGGGCTATAGGAGAGAGTCCTTGGGAATTTTTCAGTCATTGAGCACATTGTGGCAGAAGGAGAACAGAAAATGTGGGTTCTAAGCACAGCTTGTGTGACTTCAAGCCTGTTATAGCAGGCCTGTTGATCAGGCAGAACTTTACGGACAACATTTGGGGTATGATAATGGGGAGAACAGCAGAGGATCTGTGGGATCTAGCGAGGTGACTGCCTATCCAGGGCTGCTTCATCTGTATCTCTGTAGAAAAGCCGGTGTATGTGTGTTTGGTGGTGGCAATGGGAAGAGCTCACAGAACCTCAGTTCTGTTCTCTGTAAGATAGAGGGTATCCTGTAGAAATCCAGTTTACTCACCTCAAAGGCTGTATCAAATGTGATCATGGGTACAGAAAATGCTTTGTAAGCTATAAATGTTGGCTATTTATCATTCTATTGGTTATTCACCTTTATTAATCAACAATTTTTTGAAAACTTACTATATATCTCATACTCTGGTGGGTACCAGGGAGCTAAAAATGATCCCTTCGTTGAAGGGCTTTGAATTTCCCTGAGGAAGGTCACACCCACAAATGCCAGCAGTGGGCTACATTGAAGGCACAGGATAGACAGTACACACCTGCTTTGGAAAGAGGACTCTTCTGAGAGCTGGTGTATTTGGGGGAGGTTTCATGGATTAGAACTTTGAAAGATGGAAAGATCTGGGTAATTGCACACAAGGGAGATTGGCGGCTAGGCAGAGGCCATTTGTTGGAAGTTGTGTTTGTATTAGGTGTTTGAGATAGAAGAGAGAGTTCTCTGTTCCTGTTACTACCATTGTGAAGAGAAGATAGAATTTGGTTTCTGAAAGTATATGGTAACTGTCTTAGAAAAGAGATGTCTGAGGAATTAGGGGACGTGTCTGCATGGGGTTAGGATGAGGTTTAAATCAAGCCATAGTTAGGTGTAATTGGGGAAAAATAAGAAATAACTCTTGACAATAGAACAGATGAACGTGTCACACTGTAGGCTGCCCTCAAACTAAATAATATAATTTCACATGCAAAGTATATGCAGGTGGGTCGAATACTTTCTGCCTGATATTCACCACTTAAAAACCCGAAATGCTCCCGTATGACAGTGATCAGGCAAATGTACCATTTGAGAATGTTCTATAAACCTTCTCAACCTCAGGGTATAAAGCAAAGTCAGTTGTCTTTGCCTCGTATATGACACGACTACTGATTTGGCTTGGGTCAGAAAGCAATTCCTGAATCTCCCTGGGGAAGGGACCAAAAGGCCCTTGACATCCAGTCACCAGGAGCCTTCAGCTGAGCTCTGCAGGGAGCGCTGCCTGCCGCGGGTGTGCTGGGAAAATAATTGAAAGTGTCCACAGGGAATTAAAAAACAGATGGTTCAGAAACCACTTTGGGGCTTGCAAAAGGACTTCAGCCCTAGTATAGGAATGGGGACGGCGAAAGAAACCTGTGTCAGGGGCAACTGGATGTAAACTCCTGCTGTGTTTGTCATTGGTAAGCATTACTTCACTCGGTGGAAACATCACATCGATAACGGTGTTATCCATCACCTTATACTGTGCATTTGAGAGTTGAGATGTTTTCTTGCTGATAGCTCATGCTTGTAGGAAACAGTATTCCTGGCTTCCATCTTGTGAGAAGGAGTAGGAGGAACAGATGGGACGAGAATGCTTCTCTTTTCCCTCCGTTCCTTTGCAACAGGCTGCTGAATAACAGCTGGAAGGAGTAAATGGGTTCATTCCTGGCAAGATAGACATTCTGTTTAATATTTTGTTTTGGTTAATTTTTTTTTTTTTTTTGGTCAGAAGAAAAGATCTCTGTAGAAAAGCCAGTGCAGGTACATATGAGTAAACTGGGTTTTTCTGATCCACACCACATCTGAGTCGGGAAATGTAGTGAGTGATAGCTAGCCTCTTTGTGACAGGTTTACATCCGAGAGCTGTAGCTTTTCCTTTCAGTGATTTTTAAGACAGTGATGTCATAGTAAAGCAAGAGAAATTTTAAAGTGGCCAGACTACGTCACAAGCCCTTTTGATATGCAGGTAAATCTTGTGACACATGACACATGCTTTGTCAAGGGCACGAAGAACGGGAGATGAATCGCTGCAAAAGTGAACGAAAGATCTCTTCTTGGAAAGAAAGGGAAAGATCTCTTCTTGATCTAACACTGCTCTGATTCAGGACAGGAACTCGTGGAAAACCCCAGAGTAGCAAGTGTAATTCAACCCTGCCAGGCCCAAATGCATTATGCCACATATGAATTGATCTCAGGCAGTCATTCCCTCCTATATCGTAGCTGTATTTTGTATGTATTTTTTTCGTTTCCTGGGGTGATTTGATGCTGTGACTGAGTACTGACTGAGTTACTATCTTTTAAAGAAATCTTTAGAATTCCTTATCATCAGTGAAATGAAGTTGTGAATTTATTAGTGGGTCCCTGGATGACCCTTTGACTTTGAGGATATACTCTTTTTCAAATTAAGCATTGGTTTGCGTTTTACTTAACTGAACAGATTTTGCTCAAAGGCTGAGGCTCTGATTAGACTTTTATTCCCTGCGGTGCCTATTTGTAGTATGCTGTACACAGTAAATGCTTACTAAATACTTGCTTATCTGCTTTGCCATGACGGGCATCAATAATTATTCCCTGGTCTCTGATTTTTTTTCCCCCCCGACATTAAAAAAGATATTTAAAAATAAAGTAAGGACTATTTATTATCATTAAAGTATTAAGATTATTTATAACAATAGATCTTTTGTTTTATTATTCCACTGAGCATTAGCCTCTATTGTCCTTCTTGGTAAAATGTTATTTACCTGGAACTAAAAGCCTTGGGTTTTATCTTAGCCAAAGAATGTGTGTTTAGCCGAGAATGTAATTAGGGGAAATACTTAAGGGATTGTCAATGCAGTGTTCTTTTAGCTCTTAAGCAATCCATATCCTGCTAAAATGTTTGTCTTTTTTTTCTTTCTTTCTTTTTTTTTTTCCTCCTTCTGGCTGCCGTTCCAGGTCCCTTATTTCTCGCGAGTCTTTGGCGTCCACGACTTTGAGTCTCACAGAGAGTCAGTCAGCCTTGAGCGTGAAACAAGAGTGGTCCCATGGCTACAGGGCTCTCCCGTCACTCTCCTCCAGCCACAGCTCCCAGAACGGCACTGATCTAGGGGACCTCCTTAGCCTTCCTCCCGGGACAGCCGTGTCCAGCAATAGCGTCTCTAACTCACTGCCGTCCTACCTTTTCAGCATGGAAAACAGCCACTCTCCTTACCCCAGTCCCCGGCACTCATCGGCCAGGTCCCACTCAGCCCGCGCCAAGAAGAGAGCGCTGTCCTTGTCCCCGCTGTCTGATGGCATTGGGATAGACTTCAATACCATCATCCGCACCTCGCCCACCTCACTGGTCGCCTACATCAACGGGTCGAGGGCTTCCCCGGCCACCATGTCCCCGCAGCCCGAGGTCTACGGGCATTTCCTGGGGGTGCGTGGCAGCTGCATTCCCCAGCCGTGCTCGGTGCCGGGCAGCCAGAAGGGCGTGCGGGTGGCCAGCAGTGGCCTGGTGCTCCCAGCCTACGGCGAGGGCGGCGTGCTGGAGTGTGAGCGCATGCAGCAGCTGGAGCATGGAGGCCTCCAGCCAGGGCTGGTCCACAACATGGTGGTGCAGCATGGCCTGCCCAGCCACGACGGCCAGCCGGGCGGCCTGCTGAAGACGGAGCGCCTCGATGATTTCCCGGGCGGTGCCCTGGACCTGCCCCCTGCGCCCCCTCTGCCCCCTCTGCCGCCAGCCCCCCAGGGCCCCCCGCCCCCCTACCACTCCCACCCCCATCTGCACCACCAGGAGCTAGTGGCCCGTGCCCAGCCGCTGGCCCTTCCCCAGGAGGCCCTGGAGGAGGACGGGGAGATGGAGGACGTTGGGGGCAAACACTGCTGTCGCTGGATCGACTGCAGCGCCCTGTATGACCAGCAGGAGGAACTTGTGCGGCACATCGAGAAGGTTCACATAGACCAGCGCAAAGGGGAAGACTTCACTTGCTTCTGGGCCGGCTGTCCTCGGAGGTACAAGCCGTTCAACGCGCGGTATAAACTGCTCATCCACATGCGAGTCCACTCCGGGGAGAAGCCCAACAAGTGCACGGTGAGTCTCCCGCTGAGGTTCTTAGGCTTTCGTCAGAGGTGCGTGGCGTCTTCCACACTTGGCCACAGATCAGGGACATTCTCTTCTTTTATGGGATTCGGACCCATGGGGGTCTAGGTATCCATGAAATTTGACTTCTCTTTAGCCTGAGGACAGGAAAGATTTCTTTAATTATTGGCAGCGGGGGTCCCACTCCACTTCTAGATTCTCTTCTGCAAATGTACGTGATCCATACCGTCAGGGGAGGTTGATCTGCCACACTGTCCAGAATCTTGGGAAATCCATGCCTGCCAGGTACCAACTTGAAGTTGCTGAAATGCGCAGGGCAGGGAAACACACGCTGTACTCCCGGCAAGAGCTAGCTTTTTTCCAAAGCAAATATTCAAGGATTTTTCCTTCCCTCCAATAACTGGGCGAGTATTGGGGTTGGAGGAGGGGCTGTTCTGATATTTGGAAAGGAACGCACACTTAGCAACTTGGCCAGTAAAAATGTTGCTGCATACACCCACACGCCTGTACACCGCACACTCTGGGGTTGTGAGCCTAGTTAATGATTTATAGCCAGCAGAAAAACACCCAGGGGATACCACAGGAGCAGGATCTCACAGGATCTCACGGAATCTTGAGAGAAAATTTCGTGGAAAAGTATAAGGAGAATGAACCAAGAGGGGACTATGCCTTGGGTGTTGAAGGAAGTGGCCCTGGTGTCTCTTTCTCCCCTGCCTCCCCTTTTCACAACATCGATCCTGGAACTTGTCTGTGATTCTTGGCAAAATTTGCTATTTTTGCATAATAGGACTCTTAAATGATTTTGCAATCATTTCACACCTAACAGAAACCCTCAGGGTTTACAAGCAGGACATCACCCTTGGGATCACAGGGCAGCTTTGCACGGTCTCCGATAGCTCGCTTAACTCTGGGAAGAAGAAGAGCATGTGTTTTATATTACTTTAGATGGACAGGAATATTTCTTTCAGAGTTAAAATCTGAGAATTGTAGGTAGTCCCTGGATATTGAATATGCCCCAGATCACTGAATGTGTGAAACATATAAATCATTTTGAAAAGGGACTTATTCAGACGGTGGTCCCCTGGCCAGAGTCCTTTCTTACTCTGTATGTCTTGATGATAAAGAATCTGGGCTGTGTTTATGTTTGATTGTAGATTGGCCAAGTTGTCTGATTTATGTAAAAGCAGACCAAATAGGTTGGTAGCTGTAATGCAGGTATTGGAAACACTTTTTCACTATCCAGTAGGTATTTCTGGAAGAGTTTTCAGAATTTCTGGTGGAATGAAATTGCATTTCTTGCCAATACCTTGTGCCCCATGTTGTGATTTTTCGTAAGGAAAACCAGAAGCTGATACATTGTGAGGATGCCATGTTATATGACTGAAGAGAATAATTACATTTCAGGTGGCAAAACCTTCCTCTGTCAGTAGGGTTCTGCATTAAAAATGCCAGAAAGAGACAAGCAATTGAAGGCAATTCCATTTAGTCTGTTTGGAACACACTGGCCTATTGCAGGCAGGAAAGACGTTCAGTCTCTGAGGGAAAACAGTCCAACCTCTTAGTTCTGACTAATCCTGGCTGAAAATAGTTTGCTGGATTTGGCTTTACTGAAATAAACATAAAGGCCTGAATTATCCAAAACATATTTTTTGCATTGCAAAATTAATTTTTGTGCAATAGGATTTCCCCATTTTCCCACTCTTCCCAGACTTTGCAATGGCATATAACTTTGTAAAGTTGACTTTTGCTAAAGTGCAGGATGACTATTAAAAATAGAACTATTTCAGTGAAAGAATAAGCTGAGAGGTGAATATTTGCAGGTCTCTGCTTGGCTTTTCATTGTATTATTCCGGATGGGTATGGGAGGTGGTTTCTTTCTTTCCTAGTTTGCTTCCTTCCCACTTCTCGATGGAACCTGTAAAATTCAGATTGCTGGATATAACGGCATATCAAATCTAGACCCACAAAGCATTAAATGGTACATATTATAGTGCAAATATATTGATAAAAAAACAGGGTTTCTTAGGAGCTGACTAATGCTGCAGTTCTAGTCATGGGACTGTATGTTTTTTGCAGGAAGATACCCATTTTCATATAAAACCTACATGGTGGGAGCATTATGTCTTCTAAAACCGTTCTGTTGCCACATGGCATCTGCTTGATTTGTAGGGTTAGAGCTAAGTGACGGCACATAATTTTGCTGTGGAAGTTTAGCATTCCTCCCAAGTTGTAGTCCGTGGAGAGAAGACATTGTACTTGACGTGGGTGCACATCTGAAAAGACACATTTTCTGCTTTTTGCAAAACCAATCTTTACACTCTTGGAATCCAAACACAAAGAATTGTTAGAACTGAAATATTTCATCTCCCGCTGCTTTGAAATCTGATGGTAGTTGATTCAAAGCTCAAGATCTTTGCCAAGTAAAATGACCACATTCATCTTTTGGAGGTATGAAGTGATCTTTGGGTTTCTGTGGCTGTGTCGCATGCTGCAGAGGCTCGGGGCAGTTTAAATTATAGGACCCAGTCCACTTTTGTTTCACGTATATTTCACTGCTATTAATTTTCTGTGAGCCGTCGTTAGAGTTAGCCACCATTTTCACTCACTTAGCTTATTGACCCAAGAAACATGTGATGACCCAATTGTGTTTGGTGACCATGGCTACAGGCAGCACAGTGTGCTTCTGGAAGTCCTGGTGGAAGAAGGACGTGTGAAAGGGCCGCTCAGCGACAGCCTACTTCCAGTAAAAGACTGGTGTGCTCCCGCCGGTGTGCTCCCGCAGCGCCCCATCCCGTCTCCTGCAGGGAGAGCGCCTTCTCACAATCTGCGCCTCTGCCTCCTCAGCCTCACCCAGCCTCACCCGCTGCGATTCGGATCTCTCAGGATTCTAGGTGTCAGAACTGGGGGAGGACTGCTAGTTCATTATTTGGTTAACTTACTGGAAGAAGAGAATGGTTTCTTTTCTCTTTCTCACCCAAACAACTCCACCCTTCTGTACATCTCATTCTTATTCTTCTGCGGAGAGCCAAACCAGCTGCTCTCTTTCCAGGCCTGGCCCTGATGACAGAGATATTCCCAGCCAGTGGCAAGGGCCTGGAGAAGTAAAGGCCTCGGCAGGCAGATAGATGGACCTCAGTTAAATCAGAAACTGGGGTACGGCAGTATTCCGTTAAAAATACCCGAGTCCACTCACTGCTGTCTACTAACTAAACCAATTTCGAGACGCCGAATCATTCTATTTAGACCTTCCTGAGCTTAGACCCAACCCTAACACTGATGAATCTCAGAATTAACCAAAACTTTTGGGTGTAACTATGCTGAATTCTGTAACGTTTTTCTGAGATGATAAGGGCTCAAATACCCAAGTCAGTACAAGTCATGGAGCCTCGGATTTTGTTTCTCAGACTCCTGTTTCACCGTCCTAAAAGGACAGCATAAAGTATAACCCCAAATTATTGCTGTACACTAACCATCCTTAGCAGTATCCATAGTAATGGTTCCAATAGAGTGCACACAGAGAACGTTTTTACCATAGGTCTCTTTTGCCATCAAGTTGAAGAGTGTGTAACGCCCGGGTAGCATTCCCAGAAGGTGTGTTCTGAATGAGATCAGGCCCACTGTGTGTGCCAGTACTTCTCATGAGAAAGCCTATCTGATGGGAGCAGAGTGAGCAGAGGGAGAGGGTTCCGTTGCCAGCATCAGAAACATGCACAATAGAAAAGCAGTTTTGTTGGGAGGCTAGGGAGTGTTAATAAGGGAATTAGGGGGAATGCGGGTCGCCACTTATATTTTGCTTATTTTTCCTGGATGAATTTTATCCAATAGCAAGTAGGAATTTTGCAAGACTTTTACCCACCCACAGATTTTCACGAAAATGTCACTGGCCAAAGACAGCTTTGAATTTTGTATGAATTGACTCATTTCTCCACAGGCATTTTGCCTGGCAAAATCCAGAGTATTTGCTTTGGCTAGAAGATTGGGCAGTCTGCTTTTTAAGTAACATTGGATTATGGAATACAAGAAAATAAATACAGAGCTGGGGCCATGTCCCCATTCCTCTTTTATGGCCTGATTTATGGGTTCATGGGCCAGCATTAGCCATGTAAGACATTTCTTGAGGAAAAGTAAATTCATTGTAAACTGTGGAAGAAGTTTTTTTTAAATCACATCCTTTATTTTGTTATTTTGATAAGACTTGGCATTGATGGGGTAACCACAACTATATGGCCAGAAGAGAACTTAGGAAAATATTATCTAAGTATAACTGTTGGTTACCACTTCACAACCTTCAAATTGGCAACAATTAATAAATTCTCATAATGTCAAGTATTGGTGAGGATATAGAGAATGAGGAATGGTTTAACATGGCTGGTGAGAGTAAATTGGTGTAACCACTTTGGAAAAAAATTTGGGAACATCTAGTAAAGATGAAAATGAGCATATCCAACAAAATCATGTCTATGTGTCTACGCTAGGGAATCTCTTGTATACAGTAGCAGGGCCACATGCAAAAAGATGTTTATTGTACCTCTGTTTCTAAAAAAAAAAGTAAATAATCTAACTGTCCATAGATGAGGTAAATTGATAAACTGTGGTTTATTCTTAATGAAGTAATATAAAGGAGTTTAAAATTAATGAACTAGGTATAAATCTCTATATCTCTAGATGGATAGATGGATGAATAGATATATAGATATCAATGTGGCTACATCTCAAAAAACAATGTTGAATGAAAAAATTAAATGCAAGAAGGATATATACAGTGTAATACAGTTTATATGCATTTAGACACACACTAAGCAGTACTATGTAGTTGTGGCAGATACATAATTACTGTGGGCAGGATAATCAATAACCTTTGAATAGTAGATTCTCCTGGAGAGGAAAGAAGTAAGAAGAAATGGGATGGGTATTTTGCCTTTTTTTCCAGGCGTGAGAGCATTGAAATAAATATGGCAAAATATTAATTTCTTTTTAGCTTGGTGGCGGTAGGAGGTATCATAGGTATCTTAAAATGTTTTCTGTGCTGTGCTGCCTGTTTGACATATTTTATTTATAACTGTAAGTATAGATTCTTATCTAAAAATAAAAGAAAATCAATGAGTATA